GGCGCAGGAGCCGGAGCCGATTGGATGGCGCGCGCGCGCTCACCCTTACAACCGGCCTCCGCGCGCCATCCGATCGGCTCCGGCTCCTGCGCCCTCCTCCTCCTCCTCCTCCTCCTGGCACTTGGCGCAGGAGCCGGAGCCGATCGCCGCCCCTTCGCCCCGCCCGCCCCATTTACAAAACGGGCGAAAGCTCGTAAATACTCTGGTAGTTGCCGTTTCGATATTTAAAAACCCTTCCGGGTTTGAAAATATGTTTTGAAATCGCGTCGGATATGGTAAAAATAACAAAACATTAACGAAATAACGAAATAACGAACGAAACCGGACAGGCCTAGTAGTTAACCCTTGATGTGAGGTATTTCACCTCATCAAATTCAGTGGGATAAAGAGGCTCCCTAACACATTGATATAGCCTATAGAAGGCTAAAGAGAGAAATCTGAAATGCATTATATAGGGAATTATATTGTATTTCAGTGACTTGAACTTTATAGGATTGATGGCATGCATCTATCAGAAGGAAGGGGGGGGGAGTTATGCCAAAAGAGTTATGGCTCTTTTGGCTAGTCTGGTGGAAATAAATGGGCTAAGCAGACAGTTCGGGCCTTGTCTATCTCCATGATCACATCTCCCCCTATGAACCGGCGCAGACTCTTAGATTTTCTGGGGAGGCCCTTCTCTTGCTCCTGCCACCATCTCAAGTGTGGTTGTTGGAGTTGAGGGAGAGGCCCTTCTTGGTGGTGGCCCCTCATCTTTGGAACTCCCTCCCCAGCTAAGACAAGCTCCGTCACTAGCCTCCTTCCAAAAGGACCTGCAGACCTGGTGGTTCCAGCAGGCTTTTGATAATGATTAGCCCCAGGTCCAACCTGGCCAACAGTTAGACCTCCATTTTGCACTCTACCCACTTCCCTGGCCCTCTGCTACCTCATTGCCCTTGACCTGGCCTAGCTCTATTATAGCTATTCAGCACGCCCTGGAAATGAATAGCCACAGGCACTTCCCTGACCATTCATTAAGGCCCTGTTTGGCACTTTACCCACTTCCCCAGCCCTGTTTCCCATTGGCCCAGCCCTCTCATATCTGTGCCTCAGAGCTTGGAAATAAATAGCTCCAGGTCCTGCCCTGACCATCATGCTTGCACTTTATCCACTCCCCTGGCCCTTGTTTACCTTGTTGTATTAGCCAAGCCCTCCCATAGTTATTGAAATCCACTTTCGAATCTTGGCGATAGGAACTGAACTTGCCCAATGGAATTAACACTGAACTGGTTTTTAATTTTAAATATGTATGACTGTTTTATAGTATTATGTCTTTGATTATCATGTTTACATGTATATTTTTATGTCTGTAATTGCTATGTTTGACCTATGCTGGAAACCTCCCTTAGTCCCCTTGGGGAGAAAGAGCGGTATACAAATAAGATTTTATTAATATTATTATATTGTTGTCCTTTTTATTGCAATGAACACCTTGGCACCCTTTTGCTGAAGGTGAGAACTTCTTTAGATCTTTTGACTTATTGAGGAGGAAGTAGAATATTCTTAGACCGGAGCTGAACACTTTGACCTTGATGTAAGTCCTGAAACATTTGGTTAAAGGAGGTACCTTGAGTCTGCTTTACAATAGATAGGCAACTCAGCTATTGATTTGTCCTTGGGACTCAGGTGATTTGCCCATAGGAAAAGTCAAGGATGAAACTTGCCTGAATGTAGGTGTTCTTTCCAATTACTTCTTTCCACATTCAACACAGCTTAAATAGGTGAGCATTACTTAACACACTTCTTTGTGTCTGGTCTCATTACTCTGCTGAAGTAATGCCACTTCAGACACACATAGCTCAAGGTGATCTCCATGGAGAAGAGACCAGGGGCTTTGCATCACAAACAAGGCCACCCTTTTGTAGCATATTAATCCTGTTACAGTGTCATGACCAAAAGCAACCAACTGCAGCCTGGACATAGTGGGTCAACTATAGGAGTAAGCAGCTGAGCTGTGACTATATATCCCAGACATCCCTACTCAGATTTAAGATGCAGAATCATGGACTCATCCTTTCATCACAGCATGCCTAGATGGTTCTGTTCTCTGCAGCAGCCGATAAAGGAAAAACAGAGCCAAAATCTCACATAATTTTATCAGAAATGTTTTCACTATTTTACATTATGTTTTGATTTGGTAACAATAACATTAGTTCAATGCACTCTTTACATGAAGTAAACAATATGCAAATTTATTTTTCATTGTCCCTATTGGATAGTGGAATCATCAAAAACATTATTCATCAAAATGCCTTTTAAAAAATCATAAAGGATTTTCAGATTTAAGCCAAGAACAGAAGTTTTTCCTTATTAAAAAAGCAACACATTATGTGTATGATAACAAAAAGTGCAAAATTGCAGATTTTAAAATATGAAATATACAATAATTTATATTTATTATTGTTGCACAAGTATGAAATTAAATAAAACAATAAAGAGTAATACTTTAAAGCTACAATTTGAAGTTGTAGGGATTTAAGCCTTTTAGTAACTTCTGACTGATAGTGACCCTTACATAGGCAAATGTACATAATGTTTTACTGTTAGAATTTTTTTAGAAGTGGGGTTGATCTTTCCTTCCTTTGAGGCTGAGAGTGTGTGAGTTTCCCAAAGCCACTCAGAAAGTTTCCATCACCCTGTAGGGATTTAAACCTTGGTCTTATACTGAAACTACTATATCTCACAGGTTCTCTTCTACTTCAGTGCTTTTCTGAATATTGTTTTCCAAAATAATATTTAATTCCCCGCTAAATACACTGTCCCTGTGTAATTATCCGAACTGCAAGAACTATGTGTTATCATTTTGAATTGGATCCTTTCCTTCTGACAATACAAATTATTCCTTAAGACCAAAAAAAAAATCCATAGATATTTTTCATCTACCAACCAGAAGGTGACACAAACCAACATTAAAAATGCCAGTTTGTGCCACGTTTTGCTGTGACACCGGGGGGGGGGGGTCGTCCTCGCTAGAGAGGAGGTGACTGAAAGATATACTCACCATGCACCTGCTGATGCGTGTTGGCACAGGTGAGTATGTCCAGCAACACTCTTTCTTCCTTGTGCCTGTTTCATCTTCCAAAACAAAGGCACAGTATGTTTACCTATGCAGGAGACTTCCCTGTAGCTCCACTGTGCTCAGAAATGGTTCAAGGGGTTTTGAAGCAAAATAGGGTGCAGGAATGGAAGGTTGGCACCTTCATCTCACTTTCCCAAGTTGTGTAAGCTCAGGGATCATAGCATGGCATGGCTGTGGAAAATGCCATCATGAATCACACATGGTGATTCCTAGTAACAGTAACCATAGATGTGGCATCATCAATGGTGCCACAGCAAAGGAAAATCAAGTCATTTGCTGGTGTGTGTTTTTTTTTAAAAAAAACAACCTTGTCATAAATACACTGTAACAGGTTTACCTCAGGTTACATTGCATCTGCCTGGTGCATCATTTGAATACTCCTGGCTAATGTGATCACTATCTCACATCATGTGGCAATGTAGATGATCCCTATGATTTATGTGATAATAACCATACATCAGTTCAAATACATTTTAAAGTACATTAGATACCAGAATCCTGTGAAAATGAAGACCATGTTGATTGGCAAAGAGTTTGCTTGTCACATCTTGGCATGTTGATTTTATATAGATAGGAAGCATAATATAGTGGAGTACTGCAACAAATAGCTTGAGAAGAACTACCACAATGGGTTGTTGTAGGTTTTTCAGGCTGTATGGTCATGTTCTAGAAGCAGTCTCTCCTGACGTTTCACCTGCATCTATGGCAGGCATCCTAATATGTTGTGAGGTTTCACAACCTCTGAGGATACCTGCGATAGATGCAGGTGAAACTTCAGGAGAGACTGTTTCTAGAACATGGCCATACAGCCCAAAAAACCTACAACAACCCAGTGATTTCAGCCATGAAAGCCTTCAACAATAACTACCACAACCATTTTATAATGCAGTATTATTGAGGAACTATTCTGCGGAATACTGGGATTCTTTGAAAGATTAGTGAGACTTTACCAGTGATAAGGCTATTAACTACAGATCTGAAAGATGAAAGACCCACAAAGTTCTATCTCCATTAGCATGGTAAACTTCAGGAAAATGTTCAGGTGAGTTTTCATTCACACAAGCTAGCATTCTGGGAGCAGACACATTTTCATCTGCTCCGAACAAGATTTTCTTGTGGAAAATGGGTACAGGTCACTTGGTGATTAAAGTTGAAGCTCACACTGAAGCTAAAAGGGGTAGTTCCATCCTCCACCCCTCTTTGTATCCCTTTCTTTTTGGCAAACATTCCCCTCACTCTCCTTCTTCCTTCCAGCCCAGTAGATTTTAAGGAAGAGACAGATCTCTCTTGTCAGAGCAGATGATTGAACTAATGGTGCATAGAGGGAATTTGATACAAGACAAAGAGCTTCATTCAGTTCTAGGGCCACATATTATCCATGACTTAAAACATCAGTTAATCATTCAGTCATTTTATTAATTTTCCCCAAAAATGATTCTCAAGGTGGCTAAAATACCCAAACATCTCTGGAAATTCATGGCACATGAACTAGTACAGAAATGGCTCTTTAAAACATAGCAAAGTTTGAAGATACATGCTTGCCTCTTAATATTTTTTAAAATAAATACATAAATTAATTCATTTTTAATCCAATCTACAGATCGTGTGCAAGAGGAATACAGTATTATTTTTGAGAATTCTTCTGACTGAAACAAGAAACATACCAAGGCTACCCAACATTTTGCAGAAGGTACTAATGATGAGAACTTGCTACTGCGTATCATTTCTGATCTGGACTTGTGTGTTTCACGAGACACCTGCTTCACCATCCCCAAAAAGGACTACCATGTATTTGCAAACTGAGCGGATAATGGGTCTCCCGAAGGATCATGGAAAAGCACTGCATCGTTCCAAGCGGGGATGGATGTGGAATCAATTTTTTTTACTGGAGGAATACACTGGGCCAGATACTCAGTATGTAGGCAAGGTAAGTACTACATCCTTAGATGTTATATGATGATGAATCCTAGAAGAAATACATTTTAGTTTATCAGGAGCAGCACTGATGCAAGTCTGAACATAGATATCAACTAGAGAGAAATAAGATTTTACGACTGACAGTTCTTGGAATACTTCTGCTTTATGGGAAGGGGGAACAATTCTCTTATTGCAAGCTATATATTTATAGGAAAACATTATTTATTTGGTCATTTTAATGTATTTCCCAAGAACTAAAATTTATAGCAAGTGTTTGGCAAGGCATTGAACATGATATATGGTTGCCAGTAAAATCAACTAGATAGCTTGCCTCTAGGAACTAGCATGAAAAATATATGAACCCAGAGCACATGCTGTCAAGAGTAGAGACTCTGGTATATTCCAGATAATATGTGCTGATAACATATCTAATCAAAAGAGAGACTTAAATTAATTTCTGTTCCCAATTAAAGTAGACCCATTTAATCAATGGGATTTAAGTATTGGTTTCACATTCAGCAATTAATTCTAAAAGCTTTATCTGGTTAGGACTGAAAATTTAATTTAACTTAAAATAGTGAAGCCAATATACAGCAATACACACCTCAATGAGTTCATTCTGGTTAAATACAATATGTTGGTAATTGTTTGGTTAATACTGAAAAGTAGACTATCATCATCATCATCATCGTCATCATCATCCAGAACTATAAAAAAATTTCTGAATATGTTATATTTGATTTATACGTTATCCTTTCCAATAGGAGATCACATACATAATGCCAAAAATAAAGGCTTTTAAAGATATGAGCAAATAAAAGCAACCATTAAGACATACAAACTTTGGCTAAAATGAGTAACACCAGTGAGCCACAATGCATAGTGTATTTTTGTGGAAGGGAATATAGAAGAAATCATTTTCAGATGTGACATTCCAATTATGGATTACACTCAACTTGAAGTTTTCTTGGCACCACACTAAAATGTGTTTTTAATTGATAAAGGCATTTGGGGAGTCATTTATTTTAAGGATACACTCATATTTTAAACATTGACTTTTAATCAGAACTACAGAGAGAAAAATAAAAAAATAGAAACAATAACAGGAAAAAACATTTTCATAATATATAATACTAAACTACAACAAACAAAACAACTATATCTAGGATAATAACAATATTAGTTGTTGTTATTATTATCATAACAAGAACAACTTTATTTTTGTACCCCATCGCCATCTCCCCAGAGAGCTCGGGAGCAGTCAACCCCTCTGTTTAAACAGCTCCACTGGCTGCCAATAAGTTTCCGGTCCCAATTCAAGGTGCAGGTTGTTACCTATAAAGCTCTAAATGGTTCAGGACTTGCCTATCTGTGCGACCGCCTCCTCCCCTATGAGCCCATGTGATCCTTAAGATCATCTAGGGATGCTCTTCTCTCGCTCCCGCCCCTGAATCAGGCACGATTGGTGGGGATGAGGGAAAGGACATTCTCGGTGATGGCCTCTGGAACTCCCTCCCCAGGGAGATCAGGCTGGCACCTTCTCTAGCCACATTCTGTAAGGAATTAAAAACACTGATGTTTCATTTTGCATTTGACTGATGACCCCCTGTATCGCGACCTAATTATCATTCAACCTGAATTTCCTATATTACATCACTATTCAGATTTTGTAAGTCAAACTGAATTATTTCTGATCCTATTAAATGGCTCTGTTTTCATGATATTTCCTATGTTATTATACATTTTCATCCATCTTGTTGAACCAATTACTCTTTAATTAGCCAGTATTTCCCCCCCTTTTCAAATTAGTTCTTTTGTTGCTTGATACTTGTCTAATATTGTTATGTTGTTTTATGCTTTTTAAATTGTATTTTGTTATTGCTTTGCTTTTAATTGTATGTTCCCTGGCCTTGGCCCCATGTAAGCCGCCCCGAGTCCCTTCGGGGAGATGGAGGCGGGGTAGAAAAATAAAGTTCTTTTTCTTCTTTGGGGCAGCTTATATGGGGACAATCACCCTAACATAAACTAATCCACCGTAATAAACATGTTCTAAACATATAGCTACTAAAACTAATATACAGGCCTCATTATTACCCACTGATTTTTACTTATTTTCCACTTTCTTTGGCCATCACCATATCTCCACCCCTTTTTATAATAATACTCTTCTAAATCAGAAAATGAGAAGTTGAAGTTATTAATAAAAGCTTTTGGAGAATCATTTATTTCAAGTATACATGGATATGGCTTCGAACTGTTGCAATGTTTAACATGTTCTTCAATTGTTTAAATTATTTATGTTTTTAATCTGGAAGTGTTTTACATTATTTATATTGTCTGCTAGCCAGAAATCCAGTGATAAAGGGTAGAAGTATCTGGAAGGAAGGAAGGAAGGAAGGAAGGAAGGAAGGAAGGAAGGAAGGAAGGAAGGAAGGAAGGAAGGACTGCAGAGGACACATTTATAGAGAAGGTCTTCTTTTCACTAGCCATTTACCTAATCATGGAGTCATAGAGTTGGGACCAGCCACAAGGGCCATCCACTCTAATTGTGCTACTAAAGAAGGGATAGAACTTTATTTTTTTAAATAAAGACGTCACAGCAAGAAACTGGTAGGAAAAATAGATATTAAAAAATTTGAGATGTGATCAAGAAGTGACAGAAAAATGCATGCTTCATATCTCATAGCTAACTGACTTGATCTACAACTCTCAGTTCATTCTACAAGTCACAACAGAGTTCACTTTATACGGGGTTTCTCCCAAACCTTCTACCATCCTCCTTGAATATCATTGTAATTAAAGACCTCATCAGATACAATGTTCTCTATGTCATCTTTCAAGGAAACACTGGCATGGCCACTTCTGGTGGCTGTTTGTGGGAATTTACTTTGCTAGTGTCCGAAATTGAAGAGAAGTCTCCTTTTTCAGGAGTCAGGTGCTACCATGAGAAATAACAGGAAGTGATGTGGGATGGCCAGTCATCTAAGAAGAAGGGGAAAGACAGTAGGGAAAGAAATAAGACAGTTTCCCCTGCTTTCCCCCTGCCCATATGATGAAGTCCTAAATGGTCTGAGAGTTTTTTCAGACTGGTATCTTCCCACTAAACCATGCTAAAAGCTGATCCAAGAAACTGGAAAGTCCAGCCACCAATGGCACCTGATGCAATCATATTCAAAATGAGGTCACAAATGTCAGAACATTCTGATGTTCTGCTGTTTCCAGTGATACAAGTTTGTGTTATAAAGCCTTACACAATTTCCCCCCTAACACTGTTCCTCAAATGGATGGGATGTCATTGAATCCTGCCCAATGATGGATCGGGCCTTTCATAAAATGGAGTGGTAGATTAGCTCTTTTCATGAGTACCACAGAAAAATTGCATCTAGAAAGAGTTGGTGGACATGTAGACCTATTATTATTGCAAGTAGAACGAAGATTGTTATAAGGCTCCATATGTCCTAATTCTCGTGGACTATCATTTTGTGGGGTGGGGGAAGAGAATGAATTGTCTTTCCTGAAAACCATCATTATTCAAATAAGTTGCACACATACACACCAATTACATTAATAAATTGCTTTAGATTCAGAAACAGAAATGGCCTTCTAGACCCTTCTAGTTTTGTTCTGCATTTTTAACATCTTGGGACTCTATGAAGAAAATTGTCTTCAGGCCCATTTAAAATCGCTATCAAAAAAGAGCCTTTATTTTATCTTGATCAAATTTAATTCTCTTATACCATTCTCTAACACACTAGATCAGTGGTTCTCAACCTGGGGTTCCCAGATGTTTTTGGCCTTCAACTCCCAGAAATCCTAACAGATGGTAAACTGGCTGGGATTTCTGGGAGTCGTAGTCCAAAAACATCTGGGGACCCCAGATTGAGAACCACTGCACTAGATAGTATCAACTCCTTTATTGATGTCTCCTTCATCTCTTAATATTTTTGATTTTATTCTTTCTCAGACAACTCATATCATGTAATTTTAATTCTGAAGTCTTCTCACATCTTAAAAAAATATTGAGTTTTGAATTTTTACTTGCTTTGGTATCCATTTTAGTTTTAATATGGGTAGCAAATTAAAGCATTGAGATTTACACTCCTGCAATTTTTCTTTGATTTAACTATTCAACTGTATTTGGGACTATCAAATTATAAGTATTCAGACAAGAGCAATCTGATCAGTCAAATTTGATTAGTCAGTTTTGATTTTTTTAATTATAATTATTCTCAACAATAGTAGTCTTAAGCCACAAAGCCCCTTTTCTTGTTCATTGTTTCAAATGAAAATATTTATTCATTTTCTTATTTATTTCATGCTCAGTTGGGTGATTTTTTTTACATATTTACAAAACAGCAAATCTCACAAGTTGGATTCCAAGCAACAAGGTGATCAATGAAAACATAATACAAAATATCTCTCTATATGTAAAATAAAAATTACCAAGAACAACGGAAAAAGAGGATGCACTATATCGAAAAGAAAATGATAGACCATTTAATTAGGCATGAAATGTCAATGATTATACATGAGGTAAATGACAAATTGTAATTAACACTAACATTAAAATTAGATAGAATAATGAGTCAGTGAATATGCAATGTAAAAAGGTATAACATAATGATATGTTCTTTCACCATCAGGAAAAATGGTTTTCCTCAAATGAAAGCTAAACCTTCCTGGCTGATGACTTCTACATCATTGGAGTGGGTAAACTGCTCTAGTTTTTAGCCTGCAGTATCTAAAGTGTTGAGCTTTGTAGTTCAATAGGTTTTGTACCTTACAGCTCCTTTAGATTTTAAACTAAAACCTGGCATAGAAGTCACCACTAAGCACTGGAGTTATATACAGCTACCTAGAGAATAAAATGTGTTCTTCCATGCATGGGTTGTTAGGATGATTCCTACACTGTGGAGCCTGGCAAGTACCATGTGTGGTTTTGTATTTGCCATTAATTGTCATCAATCCCAGCTAGTATCCAGTTCATGAATTATGATGGTGTCTGGCCAA